AGTTTTTTTCAAATGTACATTTTTAAATGGACTATGACTATTTATAAACTTTAAGTGCCATCAAGTAATATTTTAAAGAAGAAAAGAAGATGACAAAATTTAAAGCTGAAATGTTTATGGAGAAATTAGAACATAATCCTTTTTACATATATTCACGTGTCTTTATTTTTAGTTTGTATGTGTATGAAATTTAGGAAAGAGCATGGTAGAGAAAGGATGAGCCAAGTCGAGGTAACAAGGAAGGCAGATACTGGGCTCTGAGCATCCGCATCGCCTGTTCATAGTTAATCCTCAAGGCTGGAAAGCCATGGAGTAATTCCCAAGGAGATGGACACAATGTCACTCTGGTGGTAGAGTATACAGAATGGGGGTTTGAAGCTGGGTACAAACTGGGGCAGTGAGAGCTTTGAACAAAAACTGTAAGGGCAGTAATAATAGTAACTGATAGTAACTATAATATTAAGATAGACAAAGGAGAAAGCTGGGAGACAGCCCAGCCAGTAAAATGTTTTCCTTGTAAGCATGAGTGTGCTTGAGCTGCAGTCTCTAGAGCACAACTAAAATAAGTCAAAGAATTGTGGCACATACTTTCCAGAGTTGGAGAAGTTGAGACAGAGCCATGGGCTGAGAGGCTGGCCAGCCTCATTTACTTGACAAGTTCAAGGCTGGTTAGAAACACCGTCTCAGAAACCAAAGTGGACTGACTATACATGAAGAGCAATATTCCTGTCATCTCTCTTTAGTCCCTAGGTACACAGACACATACATGCATGCACATGTACACACAGAAACACATGCAGACACAGGTGTACAATTATGCATGCATGCACACACACACACATGAGATACAATAAAAGACTTTAGTTTAAAGAATGCTAGGGAGAGAGTTTGAAACTACCAAGAAGACAGAAGCGTTCATAGCCATGGTGATATTTGCTGCATAAGGAACTCTGGGGCAACACTAGGAGCCCTAGATTAAAAAAATGTCATAATTGCCATTTAAACTGTTAAAATCAACATCATTTAAAATGGAGCAAAGGTGAGCTTCAAGAAAAAAAAGGGAATTTGTAGACACTAAGGATACTTGTCTTCATAATACACAGATCAAATCTACATGTTTCAGAGTTTACGTAAAACATGGGCATATGGAGAGAAAGCAAAAAAAAAAAAAAAAAAAAGAGTAAGCTTTAGAAGCTTGACGTACTGATAGCAAGGGTACAGTGAAGGGGCAGTAGCCAGGGCAAGACGGCCCGTTCTCCCAGGTCACAGGAGAGTCAAGTAGTATTCATTCACATCTCAGATTTGATTTTCCTTTCAGGATAAAATTAAAGTGCAGATTTTGAATTTGAAAACAATGATTTATATTTTTTTCTGAAAGGCACAAATGCTTACAAGACATGATGCTTAAAGAACCAATTCACTAAAAGTGAAATCTTGACCTCGCTCACCCTCCTCCTTTTTCTACATTTATTTCCCTTCCACCCCCCCCCATTACACTTCCTTCCAAACTTCCAGGAGTGTCCCACCCCTCATCCAATCCCTACATACAGGCATAGTTCTCCTGGGAATTTGAAGTTAAAGTCGAAAGGCTTAAGACAGCAATTTCCTTAGTTTAATATTCCAACCCTGTGATTCTGAGAATCAAGAAAGACAAGCAAGAAGTGTGAAGAAAACAAGCCCTGACTCTTAGGAGCAAGGCCTATTGTTGGTACCAAGCTACTATTTTAACAGTCTCTGAAAGGTACAATATACTTGTCAAGACATTTGGAAGTAACCTGGCTATTTCAACCATACCAACAAATCTATTCATGTTAAGTAATTATAGAGTAGGAAGTAAAAAGTAAAAAGACATTAACGAATATAAAATATGAATGCATCATGAACTTAATTTGGAATTCTTTGTGTTTCATACAAAATGGGAAGGTCAAAGAAAAAGGAGGTGTAAGAACTGTAAAGAACTTCAAGTTGGAAAAAGGCATCAACTGTGATTATATTCATATGCCCCATTTAGAAAACACATCCTGAATCCATCCCCCAACGTGAAAATAAAGGCATTTGTTGACTGCAGTTTTTAATCTTTCTTCTAATTAGTTATGCTTCAGAACTGACTCCGTAAACTGCTTGGCACTTTGGACACACTAAAGAATCGTGCCCTATCAAGAACAAGACTGTACCTGCTTCTGGATCCAGAGATTTGAATTAATTTTAAAATGACCTCTATTCTCTACCTTTCCTCCGGTAAATGAGTTCATAACAAGGAAAGCGAGGCTGCTGAAGGCAATTTAGAAAACATCTGACTGATCAAGAGGCAAGAAGAGGGAGAAGTGAATGGAGAGAGAGGAGAGGGAAGGGAAAAGGAGTGGAGAAGAAAAGAGAGAGGAAAGAAATAGATGGGAGAGAAGGAGGGAAGGGGAGGGGGACAGACGGAGGGAAGTGAGGGATAGGGACAAAGAAGGCTGAGTACAGCTTACGTGGAATCCGGTGAATTTTTAAAATTACTTCCAACTTGGAATTATTCAAAATAGGCTAATAGAATTTTTAAAAAGAAGGAGCAAGAAAGGAAGGGCTAGTCATCACATGCCAGGTTTCATTGGTGAGTTAGTTAGCATCCCCCTCATCCCCCTCATCCTCCCCTCCTGACGCATTGCTCAGGTGTCTTAAATGTTAAAAAAAAAAAATGTACTCTAATTGCCTCTCGGCTAAAGTAGTTTCTCTTAAAATCTCATTTAAAAAATATAAAAGGAAGAAGGTTGTCAGAGAGGTGTCCACATAACCTGACTCACTAAGTGATGTGAACAGCATCTGAGTCCCAAGACTTGGACGAATAAAGAATAAAAATGCACACTCAGAAACTAGCCTGAACCCCAGGGGTCCTATGTTCATATTCACAGTGTCACTGGGCAAAGCCAGCCATCATTTCCTTTTCAAATGGAAGGAAAATGCATTCGTCTCACTGAGCAAATGACTCCATCTTAACAGACTCAAGCCAGAGGCCCTAGCCTCACAGCCTTTCCAGTCCTCAGAGGTGCAATGTAAGGAAGGAAATGAAGATAAACAAATGGTATCCATACGATGTATTTGATGCCTGTTTTCCCATCAGACCCTCCTGACAAGGAAGGGCTAAGGAAAAGACAGATACATCTGATCAGAGAGTTTTGTTTTAGCTTCCTCTTTTAGCAAATAAGAGGGGTCATAGCACAAATATGATTCATTTTACCTCAAAAGGCTGTTCCAGTGACATACAGCTTTCATGAAAGATTATGCCTCTTTTATACTCCAGCAGACAAAAGCAAAGGAAGGCAGCAGCAAGCACCCCAGATGCTAATTCCTAAGCACTCTATTATTTCCTTGCAAAAATATTTAAAGAAAAACAATTTCTGCAAGAGACCTAACAGTAGCAATAATCTCATTTCCAAACAGCTAAAGGAAGCTTTACAAACACTGCTACTTTATTATTTACTGCTTTGGTCCATTTTCTACTGTTTTTTGTTTTTTGTTTTTTGGGGTTTTTGTTGTTGTTGTTGTAACTGCTTGCCTATAAAAGGTCATTTCTTCTCCATTCTAAATTCTGTCTTTTCCAAGTAACTGTACTTCTTGAAATCAGGTTTCCTCCCTCTCTTCCCTCCTTCCTTCCTCCCTCCCTCCCTCCCTCCCTCCCTCCCTCCTCCC